TCGGGTCTCTGCCATTGTCCCGACCTAGTTGTCCTTGGGTCGGGTTTTCACCCTTTTTTTAGAAATATTTAAAGGCTTTCAATGGGTGCCCAAACTCCCTCCGCCCCCGCCGCCCTCATAGTCCGCAGCTTGGTTCGGGTTTTCAAATTCTTTAGAAAAATTTAAAGGCTTCCAATATGTGCCAAACCCCTCCCCCCCTCCCCGCCCCCACAATACTTCGTCCTCAACGCTTTGCCCACCCACTCTACGTCGTCGACACCCTCTCTCACTGCCCCCACCGCTCCTCTACCATTATCCGCACTTGGCCGCCCTTACAAGTGTTTTAGAAATATTTAAAGGCTTCCAATAAGTGCCCAAACTCAACTCAATACGAGTTCGCAATAGAGAAGTTTACACGATTAATTTGGCCACTTATGGTTAAAATCGAGTGTAATCCGACATCACTATCACTTTAAATTCTACGCCTATTGCCTTCTTCAGATAGTCTTCTCTTAGCTTTCGGGGTCGGCGATGGCAATCCATAAATTAAAAAATATCATGATTTTGTTTTCATTTTCATTATTCTCTAACCAATTCGTGCCCATGTATCGACGAATATATTCAAAATATAATCTTTTTAGAAAAATCTAAATTTATATTTTTTGTATTTATAAATATAAAAAAAAATTTCTCTTATCAACAGAAATAAATTCTCCATCTTTTTTTATAAATCATTAATTTTAAATCTATATATTTTTATTTCGCACTTTTATCAAAAAAACAATCTCAATATGTTCGAATTCTATTTCTTAATCAATATTAAAATATAGAAAAATTTATCTTTTATTCAAAAATGAAAATATATCAATTTCATTATGTATCTATTCTTCAATACAAGATCCATTATATATTATTATATTATCCTCGATATATATTGTTTGAATTTAGGGCGGTCCCGATCTTGTTATATTATTATTGCATGTATTGGGATGCAAATCCATGAGCTCGCTATCGTGTGTAGTAGAAACAAATAAACTCGATGGATCAAATAATTGTAAATTTTATCGGGTAATCTTTCTTTTGAAAACCGAAAGCCTTATTTTGACGAATTCGTAGCCACACAGCCTGTGAGACAACACCCCAGGTTTTCCGGGTTTGGTACGCCTGCGCTCCCTTCTGATCCGGTGCAGCAGTTGCCGGTCAGGGGAATGCACAGTGCCATCCTACCTACTTTTTGCAGGAGCAGTGTGCATGCTTGTCTCTGCCTTTCATGTCTGACCGGACGTGGCTTGGAATTTGAAATACCTTTAGCGTCGCACATTGCCCACAATAGGCATCGACCTTCAGATCCTTGTGTGAGAACCTACGAGATACCAACATGCAGTCACATACCTGGATCGAAGTCTTTGCCACAAAATCTGTTCGTTAGACTTGTTTGGAATTGTACATTAATGCCGAACCGGAGCACCAACACCAACAGCAGCCTTGCGCGGTTTCGTAGCAAAAGATCACGCATCCAACTGTCAAGACATCAGCTCCCAGTGGCATCGCCAAATCGTGCAACGGTGTCTGCGGGCCGGAGATTCCCTACCCTCTCTTGGGTCTCACGAGGATGCGCGGTTGTGTTGCTTCACATCTCCTGACGCAGAGAACCGGTGAGTCTGTATTTTGAACACTTAAACTGAAGTCTCGTCTTTCACATGACTTCAGCCACCTGTTCGTTACAAATGACGCATGATTGGACCCACAGCGACGAAGGCAAGCAAGATTAGGGACTAGTGACTATAGTAGTTATCACCGAGCATGGGCGAAACAACATCAGGGATCATGCCAGGGATGCGCTGTGCACAACGAGCATTTTCTTCTCATCTGCCGTCAACTGACATTCGAGCTGTTAGCAGCCACGTCAAGGGATGCTTTTGTCCATGCTACCGCTCGGCCATCGCACGTCCACAACCTAAGACTCATGTGCTCCGATGATTGAGAACTACTCCCAGAAATGCTGGAAGAGTAGCTTCGCAAGTGGCAGAGCTTTGCAACATTGGGTCTGCGAGAGTTGTTTCCCGCCTACTCCGTCAGCACAAGCCCGCTGAAACCTAAGGCAAAGCACACCCTCATGTACTTATCAGTGCCCAGGCAATTCCGCCGGCTTGCGATCTGCTGTTCCGGGGATCTCTGAAGGCCGACATGGATCCTAGATGGTCCTAGCAGTCCTAGCACATTCAGAACACACTACCATTTGCTTGCTCTCTTTGCTGCCACATTCGGGCCAAGGCTGTGTCTTCTTCTAGACTGGCACGATGCAGCAGTGGAATCTCCGACTTCAGTAAACTTAGATCATCGTTTGCGCTCGCTGCACAGCGCAACTATATAAGGGTACCAGGAACATCGAGGAACTGCAGACACAACACTGCATAACCTCTGCATCGCTGCCGCCCCTACCAGCATGAAATTCACCAGATTACACTGTGGAACCTGTTCCAGGCCACCGTGGAATGTTTTGCACAGCCACTCGAGGCTTCAAGAAGAACTAAGGCCCGCCATCGCCTCGTTGGCTAACGCTGGGTGACCTTTTGGCCCTGACTTCGCATCCCGGGCCTTCCGCGTAGAGCCAGACAGCGCCTCCCCTCGGCAATCTGATTGGACTGGTCCCGCTGGAATTCCTTGCGTGTGTGGAATGCACCTTTCACAACAGCCATGGCACTTGACTAAGCCGAGGTGCCAAGTGCCAAGGCTCCGAGGGAATCAATGTCGGCAGCCAACCTCAGGGCGGCGTGCGGAGTCCTCCGAAACTGGATGCTCACCCTGCGCCAGCTTAAGTCATGTCCAGGCTGCTGGCTCAGGGCTGCACCCACTGCGTCGTTATCCCTCGCGGGAAGAACTTCTCGAAGAGACCTGCCCAACTCGGCATGCAGGGGGAGGGAACGAAGAGACTGCGCATCAATGTAATTAATCATCTGCTCGGCATCTTGTTGAACTGACCGACCGAAAGCTGAATGCGGGCCAGCACGAACCCAAAGTCCTCGAATCCCACACCTTGGACTCCTTATCCGAATGGCCAGCCTGGCGTACCCGCATCACTGCGGAGGGTCACGACGCCTGCAGACACGAAGCTCGGCTCGCCCCTAGCCACTCAGTGGCGACGTCGAAGCGATGGCAGCGTGCGCGTCACGTCCATCCTTGCCAGTGCTGTCGCGAACTTCGTGGAGAACCATTTGAGCCTGCAGGGCTGCGCTCAAAGACCAAGCTGCACTGCCAAGCTCAGTGTGACATCTCTCGGGGATCGGCTGGCATCCTTGTCATCAATCTCTGCTTTGGGTATCCACGGATATATTCTGCGCCAGAGCTGAACTTCTTGGCCACGGCAAAGCCCTCGAAGACTGTGCAAGCAGCACGAGGCCACTACACAGGTTCGAGCACCCCGCCCCTCTCTGTCCACGCTTCCAGCCCTCCATCAAGAACAGTCCTTAGACTCTGACAGCTTGGCGGACCAAGCGAGGATTCGGATGAGGTGAGCCTCTTCGAAAAGCCAATGCGGTTTCTGCTCGGCAGGCACATGCTGCAGGTGAGCTGTCGACAGGTTAGTTTGAGAAGAATTACAGTACTGTGCTACCGTTGAGTCGTGTGAGGTTCAACAGTCGCAACCAACGCTGAGCCAATATAAGTGTCCCCAACCCAATCATCTTAACTCGATGTCACACCTACAAGGCGAGCGGCATTGCTGTAGGCCAGATACGAAAGTAACCGGCAAGCAGCATCGCCGAATCCCATGCCGATTTCAAGTCGTGCCGGCAGCCGTAAACGATCATGTTTCCGCAGCGTGCCTATTCTGGGCCGGTCTTTTTAGGAACTTCCTCGCTCCCCACTAGGAAAAGCAGTGTCGCCCAAACACGGTGCATTTCCCCCCCCTCTTGCGGATGAAGTAGAAGTCATGCAATTTTACTCCCGCACCGGAGTACGGAGTATAGTACTGTACCAGTCTTCAGTCACTCCAAGTGGCATTTAAGCTCTCGCACAGGAGCAACCTCCAGGGATGCTTTCGTACCGTGCTACTGTTCGCCTATCGCACATCTGCAAACTACGACTTCTCTTGGGCTTAACAGAATCAAGTACAGCTGTGGTTCGGGCTCAACGAAGGCTTCAGGCTTGTGGTTAACGGGCTGTCGGGGCCGACCAGGGTTGTGGACGCTGCGACCAGGTGACAGCTCGTCATCCGGCAACGAGGCAAGGTTCTCTGTTGCACGCGGATGCGGCAAGACAACGGACTCCGGGACATGCACGAGGCCTTGCGCGTCAGGAAAAACATCTGCAGGACCCAACCCTGCAAGCCACGAAGCCCCAACCCAAAGTCCTCGAATCCCACACCTTGGACTCCTTATCCGAATAGCCAGCCTGGCGTGCCCGCATCACTGCGGATGTTCACGAAGACATGCTCACCTTCAGCGTGCAGACCTGAGCTGACCCGGACTCACAGTGAATGACAAAGCCCAGGACGCCGAGGTGCCCAACGAGCTGAGGGGTTAAGGGCCGATACCCTGTTCTTCGATGGCTTTCGCTTTGGTTGAAGTGTCGGGACCGTGGAGTGCCTTGCATGGAGATCAAGCCGGGGCACGAATCGCGTCGCCTGCAGACACGAAGCTCGGCTCGCCCGTGGCACTCAGTGGCGACGTCGAAGCGATGGAACCCCGCGCGTCACGTGCATCCTTACCCGTGATGTCGCGAACTTCTCGGAGAACCATTTGAGCCTGCAGGGCCATGCTCGGCGACTTTTCTGAAACCTTGCTGCGCTGCAAAGCTCAGTGTGAGATTACAGCTACATGCCACTTCCGCTACGAGTATGCCTTTTCAGCCATGCATGTGACCTGCCGCTACTGTGCACGGCCGACCTCGTAGAGCCGATGCTGCAAGGGCCCAAATAGCCATATTGGCATGCGCCCAGCAATCCATCCTGACTTGCTGGCGGCCGTGGGGCTGTAGAAGTTGCAGCACACCGACGGGACAATAGAGGTAACGTGCGCTTGGCGCCCATACCTGCGATAATATTCACACCATGAGCTCCGATAGATCGAAGGCCAGCCCTGATCTGAATCCCAGACCTTACATGGCTTCGAGGCCTCGATGACTGGGAAAGTCCCCAGGGAAACGATGGAGCCGCCGAAGGCCCGTTCTTGTGGAGTGGCCAAAGCCGCTTGCAGGAAGCGGGTCCCGTCGATTTCCATGTCATAGCCGAAGTGGGTATGTCCGAAAACATGAACATGAGGCTTCAGTCTTGCCACACGATCTTGAAGGTACGAAGAGCCCACAGCTTTGGAGAGGCAGGCGGGTATCAAGTATCTCTTCTCTGGGACAAGCCTGAGCGTCACTGGAGGAAACACATCCTGCTATGTTCCGATATCGCTACACGCAGTACGATATCAAAATACACAACTAACATGCACACACGGATAGACAATGAGACTATAGTAGACATATAATAGACTATAGGCAGCTATCGTATGCCTGTATATGCATACTCTGCAGAAATAGGTGAGCACACACACACCACCCCCACACCAGAAAGACCTCACAACAGCACGGCCGCAACAGCTGTTTCTGCACATGGCCAATGCATGAAAGACTTGACTAGCGTGTCTCAGTTTGCCACAGATTACGCGCAGCCGGAACTTCGACTCAGGCTCCAGCTCCAATCGCGGCACAAAATGTGAAAATGAGATGACGGCGTCAAACTCTTCTTTCCGGGCCAGCGCTTCCGCATAACCTCCAAGGCTTCGGATTCGGGACCCCAGAACCCCCTGACACTCCCGCAACATCCCCCAACCAAAGCTACAAAGCATGTCCTGGCCACCTGTGGCTTTGTCGTTCCACTCGTCCATTGCCCGAGCAACGGAGCCGTCCTCGATTTGCAAAGGCCGTGGCCATTTCGTAGCCCAGTAGTCCTCGAGTCATGCCATGCTTGCGCTCCCATCCTCGCCAGATTCTAGTTCTAGTGATTCTAGTGCCCTTTTTACCAAGCGTCTGCAACTGTCTTCTCAGCTGTTGGCACGTTGGACCACTCCAGTAGCTCGGGCTCGGTATCCCACTGAGGGTGGTGCCAAGATACCAAAGGCACCACGAGGACCCGTTTTCGTCCTCCACACACATTGGACATACACACAGACACACACACACACACAAAAAAAAAAAAGAACAAGCACACAACAAGAAGCATTTGTGCACATTAATAGGTGACAGTTGTGGTCTCATTTTGCCATCCAAGCACCTGTATCCACAATCCCTGGCGAGGTTTCCTGGCTGCGCACGGTACTGTCTCAAAGGGCGGGGCGGTCGCGGCTTGCGGAGAATCCGGCAGGGTGACGCAACTAAGGCCGTATAAAGCCTTACTAGTAGACCAAAACAACTCTAATCACTAGTCACTAGTCGCTTCCAATCAGTCTTGAAAGGTGCGTCACCATACCCGCCCCGCTTCCGCAACAAGCGAACAGAAACACCCTTCGTAAGGGCCGCAATTTAAAAGAATTTACAGTCCCTCGCCCTGGTGTAAGGCTGAACATGATTAATCCGTCATGTATTCAGCATGACGACAAAAGTGAAAACAACGCGGAGGCTCAAACCCCCGCTGACCCTGCATGCTAGGGGAGAGCGAAGAGCTCTTGGAGCGGGCGGCTTCAGCCAAGCCACGACGTCGTGCAATTTGCAGAAATCTACAATAGCGTGTAGCTTGTCCATGGAATCGCCATTCTTCCAGCCCTGCATCCAGAGGTCGTGATTGCCTCGTCTGCGAAAGGCATGGCAACAACGCTGCAAGTCGCAGTCCGCAAGGAAAAGCCTGATGCTGCCGAGCTTCCGGGACAGAAGAAAACGCGCCCAAACCTCTCCCGCAGAAGAAGCACAGAATGCTTCAATGCTTCGAAGGTGTTCGCAACATCGCCCGCCAAAATCAAGACGTCATTGCGAAACCTCGGCTTTCCAACTTCTTACACGAAGTTCCAAGTTGCCACACATAGCGGCAAGGAGGAGGCCTCACTTGCAAAAACCAGCCCCTTCAAAAGTGTAACTTGCCATATCCTGTCCAGTTGCTCAGCTGGCGACAATCCCTCTATCCATTTCATGTTTTCCGCCTTGTCCGTGTGTATGTCTGACAGCGCCCATATCCGCACCTCGCCTTCGCCTTCTCCAAGCTGTGATGTCTTGGCATCTTTCGCAAGAACTGCCAGCTTCTTGTCTTTCCTGTGCTTGGGCCGGTAGCTCTTTCACCATGCACAAGACACAGTGCCATGCCCTCAACACCAAAACGTTCTGGAATTTCGCAAGTGGCAACTTCGTGCTGATCCAGCCCTTCTTGGGGCCGTGGCCTCGGCACACCGCTCCAACTAGCAGCTGTGATAGTGGCAAGGCTTCGGTAAGGATAGGATGTTCATAGTTAGGAAATTACACAAGTAGTAAGCTAGTGAGATTAACCTGAACATTGATCGTCGCAACCATTTAATTAAGCGGACCTGTCAGCTTCTCGTAGCACAGCCGATCTCCAACAAGCTCCAGCTCCAGTATGAGTGCGCCACAGGACAAGCGCTCCTTAGCGGCAGGAGGCCGGGAGAAGGTCGAACCGCACAACTAGGCAGATTGCCGCAAGAACTTTGAGGGCAGCTCTGCGAGTTGTTCCGAGGTGAGGCTGCGCCCACTTCGCACGAGAACACCCCCCGTGTCCGCTCCCCCCAATACTTGCCATCGCTCGCCTCGCATCTGTTCGACCCGGAAATCCCTGACTGCACGACAGCCTTGAGCCAGTATGTCTCTGAAAACATTCTCAGGAACCTTTGACGTGGAAGACTGACAGTGGGACAGTGCTGTCAATGTTGTCACCACCATGACAAGTGCAAGCACCAAACCTTCTTCATGCTTCTCCAGCATCACCACAAACCCCTTTTACCATGGCCATTAGTGTTGACGGAATCCTTATCAGCGCCATCATCTCTTGATCTTCACCCTTATCCCCGTCGTGACAATCGTCATCATGCAGCCGATTTTCTCGGTGTGGGCCGTGAGTGAGCAAAATGCATCCCGAAACCCCAAGCAACAGCTACAGCAGCTAACGCCTCAATCTCAAGGCAGACCAACGGCAAACTATATCGTTTACCCAGCTGAGACAACTCACAATCGCCTTTGACCACGGACCCACTTTTGCAAGCAGTAAGGAAAGCAAGCATGCCACCTGAGTCCTGAGTAGTGTACAAGTGGAGGGCTTGAGCAGCTATGCCTCGGACCACAGCCAAGGAAGCTTCCGTTTGCTCATATTGCGTTGTGGTGGCAGGCGGTTTGTGGCCGGGCTCAATCCTTGGACGTTTGCAAGTTCCAAAGGGTTTGAGACAAGCCAAGCCGCTCCACAAAGAACGGCACTCTCGTAGGTGGGGACCATGTACTTGATGTTGATGAAGGCATCTTCACCTTGGAGTCGAAAGGTCAATCATCACGATGCAAGCAGTAAGTACTCCTTGTGTTTACCCCAGCCTGAAATCCAAACCCGTAGCGACTACACACACGGAAGCATCATTTCAGCTACCCAATCGGCCTCCATGCTCCTCCAAGATCTGAAGGGTTTCCTCGGTTGTGGGAGGACTCCGGGCGACTGCTGGTATTCGTGCAGCATACCGGAAGAGTCTAGCATGCCAGCTCACTCATAACGGCTAGAAGGACCTGGCGCATCGTCACCCACTGGTCATGCGACAAGCCGCATCTGCAGCTTTGAAAAATGCATTCCAATCTGCTTCGGAACTTAGGCTTAGGCGATGAGAGTCCCAAGTGCTCTAGCCCGGTATCCGCTGTGCGTGTTGGTTTCGAAACTCGACCCAGGCCCTACAACTGTCCCTCGTCTCTGCGAAACCTACTTGCAGCTTCAGCCAAGGTTCTGAGATCAGATCTCCTAGGTTCAGATTCTTGCGCTGGCTGTAGTCCATGTAGTCTCCCATGTCCTGGCCGACAAACTACCGTTGCAAGCCGAGCAGGCAGCATTTACCGTGAATGGCCCGTGTTGGCTAGAGGCGCCACTTGTCAGCCATGTCGACCTCTAGACGACCAGTCGGTTCCCCGGCTCCTTCGTCGGAATGTTCTTGCCTTTGAAGAGACAGAACACCGGCCTTGGAAAGCTTGTACGGTCCAGCTTCCCGCTCGACTAGCTGAATGAGCTAGGATGCAGCAGCTGCCGGTAGTAGGGCACCAATGCCTCCCGATCGCTATCGAACATTTCGAAGATCTCTACAAGTACATTCGCGCCGCTGGTGCGCCTCTCCAATCAGGTCCTTATGATCTGGGGCTTGCACATGCCAGGACAAGAACCAAGCTGCTGAATGGTCTGGACGGAATATCTGAGACATGTTCTCAGACTGCAAGGCAGACGGACTCAGCCAAGCATCGCCACTCAGAACCAGCTTCTGCATGAGCTTCATGGTTGTGCACATGATTTGAGGGTCACCTGGGCACCCGTGCATGAACATGTAATCGTAAAGTCAGCAAAGACGAGCAACTCATGCCGTAAAAATAGAAAACTAATCAACAGTCACAGAGCAATAATGAGAAACATACAACTCACAGGATTGAGGTCTCCGCGTGTATTGAGCGCACTTTTGAGAGGGATGACGAGCTGAGGCACCACCTGAGCTTGTCAGGATTTTCCAAAACCAAATCAAATCTCACTTCGAAGCGGGCTCGAAGAACAGAATTCCAGCGCTTTGACCAGAAACAGACTGGGAGACAGAACCCGCCTCTCTGGGGAAGCTCCCCCCCATACTCTGAGCCACCCTGCCGGAAGGATACGATCACCTCCCTGCCAGGTGCATCACAACCATTTCGATTCGAAGGTGAAGCCTCCGCAGCCTCAGCCCTAGGCCTAGATCTTTAACGTTTCCTGAATACCCCAGCAAGTAAACGGCATGATTGATCCGAAATTGATCCAATCGCAATTTGCACCCTAGGCGCCTGATGTGATCAAGTTTCGGACATGCTTATGACATCACCTTTTTCTTACAGCCCAGAAGTTCGGAGGCAGGCCTTCTCTAGCATGTCATAGGCTCCAGTGACGGCCATGAACCTCAAAAGCGACTGTACACGCTGCACATCAACGTTCGGCTCAAGAGGAATCCGCAACATGCGACCTGATTTATGCGAGTGATCAGCCCATCTGTATGGTATGCTGGACACGAGAGAGATTCCTACGTCTGTGTCGTCCCCTCGTGCTTGCCGGCTTGTTTGCTCAAACCGGCTGGCACTCTGTGGGATACCACGATTGCAAAGGACGTAGTCCGCGAATGCACGACAAAAGTCTTGGAACCAATGGTCGGCGTTTCCCCGATCGCGTCGCAAAATACTGCAGAGCACTCCCGGTCGGCAACGCTCACTCTCTCATTCTTTCCTTTCCGAAGCCCTCTCTGCTCTCTCGTCTTGCTGTTGTTCTTCCTCTTCCTTCAGTTAGCATGAGTCTGGTGTCGACTAGGCCCGCACGCTGGGCGCTCCCCTTCCGTCTGTTCTCATAGTGAAGTTTGGGACTGTTGAAGTCATGTCCCAGGGTGTTTGAGAGAAGGGCATTCTGCTTGGTTCGAAGTCGTTCTTGGTGGATGCTCGGCACAGCTGCAAGATGTAAACGGCTCGAGGCCTAAGCATGGCTGCAGCTAAAATACAATTGGCAGCCTCATGCGTGCTGCACTCTGCCCCTTCTGCTCTCTGGTGCTCTCTTGCTTGCGAGGTGTTTGGGAAGTTAGGCTTGACCGCTACGCAGCTGGGCCCGGCGTCCTCGGTTCGGGGTCGGCGTGAAACGTGGCAGCAAGGCAGTACCCAGCCTGGTTTCGTGGATCGGACTCCTTGAAGAGAGGTCTCCGCACGGGAGGTGGCACAAACTCAGGGGTCACCCCGTTTCCTGTCCGTTAGCATTTTTCAGACATGAGTGTCACGGCCCCGGGCCAAGTTGACTATAGCCAGACTTCCTAGCAGGCAGCGGGTAGCAAAGCACCCTAGCAAAGCAACACAAGGCTTTTGGTCCTGAGGGCTATCTTGCATCAGGAGCTCACATGATTCTTCGTTGAGCCGCACGGGTCCCCTGCGGTACCTCAGGCTCTCTCCTTCTCCCAGGCTCAGGGGGGCGTGTCAGGACCCCCAGGCATTTAACCCGCCCGTTGTATGCCGGCTCTGGGGGCGGCGTGAAAGCTTGGGTAGGGCTCCTGACCAATAACGGTATACATGTACATCTGATCTTCAATGAGATAACAGATTTGGTATTCCCCCCCGGGTTGGAAACATGCGTTGTCTGGTTCAAAGGAAGTCGGGGCACTGAATTTAGTGTTGCACAGAGGCATAGAGAAACCCATTCCCCGACTTGCTTGAGCTTCATGCTCTCTTCTTCTTTTGCAGGGCATAGGGGGCGTGTCAGACCCCCCGGCCTATTGGACCCCCTATGTTATGGGGCTTTCGGGGGATGTGAGAAAGTTGTTCGAGTATCGGGTGTTTCCTTTTTTTTGCTCCCTCTCTCTCGCACTTTCTAAAGAATGAGACAAAAACACATCCTACCAGGTCCTAACACATGTATAGAGACGGAGACAGTCTTTCTTTAGCCTACTTCCATCTCCTTGTTCTGTTTGCGCACATCGTCCAGCGCGAGTGTCCGGGGCCTGAAAGGATCCTCTTTCTCGCGCAGCCCATCGAAGAATATCGGCAGGTAGTGGTGGTAGTCGAGTTTTTCAACCTCGGTTTCGTACACTCCACCCGATGGTACCGAACATGCGAGACACCGAGTTGAAGCGTGCTGGTTTAGGTACCAAACATCCACCTTCCACAGCAGTCGACCTGCAGACCGTCACCACACAACCACAATCAAGGGCAAGGGGGTGCGAAGACCAGCCTATGGAGCCATGGTAGATCTGAACCGGCAGATCCCCTCGCCTGACAAGGCGCAAAGGCTCACCGAACGGCACGAATGTCTCCATGTCTTGGGCCGGCATGCAGTCCGAGCACCCCGCTCGTAGAACACGCGCAACCTCGCAAGGAATTAGATTTTGCCTTGACACTGCCTTCCGGGGTAACGAATCCGGCTGGGCAAGATTGGCAGCAGGGCGAAAGCTAGTTCTGCTGCGTACAACTCGGACATAGCTTGGCCACGGGCATTGACGGCTTGATGGGCTTCCGCCTGGATCAGCTCGGGGCAATGCTACTAGCACCCCGAACCGTGCTCTCTGAACCTTAGTAAAGCCCTGGTCTGATGATTCCCTAAACCCTATGTTGGAAACCTACAGCCCCTAACCCCAAGCCCGTAAACCCCCCGCTAAACCCTAAACCTTCAGGTGCAACGTCCTGGTGGCACCAGCACGTGGAGGCCCGGGGTCGACTGACCGCCTGAAGTGTGGATACAATCATGCACGCAAACGGGAGTGGCAATGGAGATGCGCGCGCGCGCGGGTGTGTGTGTGTGTGTTTGTTTGTGTGAAATTACGTGTGCATGTGTGCATGTATGTATGTATGTATGCATGCATGTATGTATGTCGAGACATGGAGCTTGGAAGACCTGGTGGAGCGTACATACATATATACATATATAC